GCACACACACACACACACACACACACACACACACACAACACACACACACACACACACACACACACACACACACCCACACACACCAACACACACACACACACACACCCACACACACACACACACACACACACACCACACACACACATCGTAAGGATGGGACTTAGTACAAAGTAGACATGGCTGCGACAACAACTTCTTCGGGTCTCGACCCAGGGGTTGGGAGGGGGGTCCGGGACCGGTACAAGACGTGGAGAGGTTTGAGGAGTTTACATCACAACCGGACGTGTGTATTGTTTTGTATGTAATTCGTATTTTGCTATGTTTACTAATGTGAACTTAAATTTCCACATGTCTAACAAAGTACACACGACTGTAAAACGACTACTGTAAATGTATAATATGTTTAATAAGAATTACAAACACAAAATAGAATCTTTCAGTATTAACATAACATAAGTTTTCGAAATAACATCTGTCTTATCTAGGTATGTTGATTTTACATAACATAACGTAAAATAAACGTCTGACGTGAGGAAAAAGTTGTGTACTATTACTTTTCCCTTGTAAGTGTGGCCTACACACACACACACACACACACACACACACACACACACACACAGATGCAGTCATAACAGTTACCAATTTTGCATTAGTATTATCAAATTCCAAGGCCAATAAATAGTGTTATCCAAGAAGAGTTCCATTATTAGTTTAGCTTTTAAGTATTTGAACTGCAGTATTATGTTCAAACTGAATACGACACTTGAGTACAATACTAGAATAGCTCATACATGTTAAAAGCCACCAATAGTAAACAGAAGTATGGAATCTATGGGATGGATTAAAGTCCCATTCAAGCCACAAGAACTTCCCATGTCGGCTGACTCGTCTAATTAAGAGTTTACCAACAGCATCTTCCAGACAATCATCATTACATTTGACCATCCAACACTGTTTATGTTTATGACCCAACACAAAGGCCTTTTCCATTGTCCTAATATAACAAACTGCAAGCTAAATGGGCTTGGTTCTTGCATATCACAAGCAGTAACTATTCTTCTGTCTCAATCGCTGCAGGACACGCTGGGAAACCCGACAGTGATGAACTTCGTGGACAGCAGTCTGCAGGACACTGAATTTACCACCAGACACATTCTTAACTTCCTGTATAACGGTCCTGAGGAAAAAAGGGAGGAGGACATGCCCAGCTTTAACTGGAGTGACATTTTTAACATCACCGACCAGATCATAGGCATGTTCAACAAGTATGGAGAGGTAAGAAACACAAGTTAGTCTACCTACCTGTATGTTGGTCTATCTATTTAAGTATTGTAGGGTGTAATACCTCTGAAATACCAGATTCAGATTGTCCGTACATCCCATTGTTGTGACCGCAATCTCCAGAACACCTTGAGGAATGTCCTTCAAATTAGATACAAGCGTACACTTAAATGAGAGTTGTGTGGACTGAAGCCGAGGTCAATGTGACTTAAATATGTGGGTCACATTTGTAGCCATAACTCAATCATTTATATGCTTATTGAACATTTTGCACAAATATCTCATAGGATAAATTGATGAAATTATGCCATTTGCATTTAGTTGAACCGGTTGGTAGAGGAATACAACTGTGATGCAATATTCCTAGTTTCTTCATTGCTCCTGTCAACATTTGCCAAATGTTTCACGTTCCCAGGACTAAGTGTAAAGTCTTTTCTTGTTAGAGCAGCTCTCGCGGCGCAGACAGGTGCATCAGTCTCCAGGTCTGCTCCCAGGAGATTGCAGCCAGGCCCCTTTGAAACAGAGCAGGCCACTTAGCACGGCTATAGAGCCGCTCTTCCGTCCCCTCGGCTGAAAGGTGGGGAGAACAAGCCTGCTGTCACCCCCCTCCACTGCTCTCATTGTGGAACCAGTGATGAAGTGGGGAGTAGGTGGGAGTGAGTCACCCCCCCCCTCCATGAGCTCAATGCTGTTTTAGTGTATGGCCCCACATTGAAACAGACCCCTGCGTCCGTGAAATAAAAGAGGGCAAATCACTCTATCCGTCCTCCACGCCTCCCCTCTCGCCTCTCGGCTGATTTAAAAGGGGCAGGGGTTGCGTATTTTGAGAGAGCCCTATCAGCGCGGGCATCTCAATCTGCCCTTTGTCTCCAAGTTCAGCAACGAGACCCTTCAGAGCCCCAACAAACAAATCCAGGCCGCTTTAGCCAATTAGATATAGCTGTCAGCGAGCATTGGGCCATAGGATAACTGCTGCAGTTAGCATGAGGTCCTCTCACTCCAACAGGGGGATGTTTCTCACACTGAGATCCCATTGGAACATGTGTATCAGTGAGGGTCTTTCTTCTCAGCCCATCTCAGAGTGAACATTATTGTGCTGTGGATGTATAGCCGCGTAAAGATGAATAGGAAATGGTCCCTCCGCTTTCTTTGAGCGCTCTCACGGTATTGTACAGTAATGTGAATGGAGACATTAGACACGGCATACACAGGGGTAGGGGGGGGGTTAGAGAGCAGCGTGTGTGTGTGTGTGTGTGTGTGTGTGTGTGTGTGTGTGTGTGTGTGTGTGTGTGTGTGTGTGTGTGTGTGTGTGTTGGTAGTGAGTTTCACATAGCAATTACGCATGTTGTATAGAGTGTGTGTGTGTGCATGAGATAAAGAGAGAAAGTAAGTGTATAGGATTATGGAGTGGTTGTGCTCATGTGTGTTTGGATGTGCATGTCTGTGTGCATTGTCTGCTTATACGTGTGTGTGTGTGTGTGTGTGTGTGTGTGTGGTGTGTGTGTGTGTGTGTGTGTGTGTGTGTGTGTGTGTGTGTGTGTGTGTGTGTGTGTGTGTGTGTGTGTGTGTTGCTGCAGAATAGATGTAGTCTCTCGGATTTTCCCATGACAACAGATCACCTCAGTGAAAGATGGTTCTGTTAAGGGCGAATGAATATCCACGTCACTGCACACATCCTTATCAATAGGTCAGGGTGTCGTATGGAACATTTCTGGTGCACTGAGAGACCCCACTTTATGTTTTGTTACCCTAATACCCCCGGGAATATTAACAAAGGTTTTTCTTTCATTCAGTATTTAGTATACACTACATTAACAAAGTGTGTGAAATGTAAAGATTGATTTGACAGGTAGATATATTCTTGGCAATGCTTACTGACAGGTAGAGCTGGGAATTGATCCTCAATACTTTTAAAGTTATTTAAAGTGACGAGTCAACGATCAATGAAGCTATAAAGAAGTCATTCAAATATGTATTTTGAAACTTGTAGGTGTTGCAACCATGAGTGGTCCTTTGGCACACATTAATAATGAGAAAAAGAAAAAGCAATGAGGCTGATTGGTTTAAATGTGTACAAGGTTAGCCATCGATAGAGATAGAGATGTGATACACTTACCAGATTGTAGGATCCCCTTGTGGAGATAATTAGTCAAATTGAACAAATCCCGCTTTCACCTAATCCCTAACCCAATTAAATTACACCTGGACACACACACAACATCTTAAAGAACTAGAAGGGAATTGTTTCTCCCTGCTGTAGCAGACAACCCCTCCCCAACATCAAACCACCGTCCCTTTGTTCTCCTCTGGTTATAGTGCATCGATCTGGATAAGTTTGTTGCTTACACGGATGAGTCCCAGATGACCCATCAGGCCTTGTACCTGCTGGACGAGAGCAAGTTCTGGGCCGGTGTGGTCTTCACTGACATGTTTCCCTGGACCAATAGTGTACCGCCGCACGTCAAGTACAAGATCCGCATGGACATTGACGCGGTGGAGCGGACCAACAAGATCAAAGACAGGTTAGTAGCAGCAAGTGATGGTTTCTTGTGAACACTGCCCTGAATCATTTTTGCTTACGACCCCTAAAAATAAAGCGTAGTTTCTACTGATGCCACGTAACTCGTTGTATATTTCCTTTTCCTTCCAAACTCAGATTGTTTCATTTGAGTGTTTAAGACCTAAAATTGTGAAATTGTCACGTGTTTCACAAGAAATAAATCTCAAGAAATCCGAAATATTTATATATTTGTGTAAAAGAGCACATTGTATTCCACTAAAGCCTGAAGTGATGAAAAATACCAATCCTCAATCCTTTAAGCGATTTGGTTTCCAAACTATTGGTAGAAGCAGGCTTTTCACACAAAAAATTAGATTATAAACATTTTATTAGCAAAGAGAAATCATTTCAGCTCACTGGTAAACTCACCCAAAGGGGTTGAGTAGGATCCAACTAGCATTGTTAGACTACCAAATCACCCTGACAACCTACCATTCCTTCATGTTTTTTCATGTTTTACTGCCGTATTAATCAGGCAGTTTATATGGATTTGTCAGATTCCTCAAAGGAGGAACAGAGAAATCTCTCCAGCTGGCATCAATGTGTTTTTCTAAAGTCTCTTTGTGCTTCCATATTAACTCGATACCTGGCCTTTCATCCTCCCCTGTGAGATTTTCACATGCACTTTCCTTTCCCTTTCATCTCCCCCGGGGTGAACGACATGTTTTCGCGGTTTCCAGCGCACCAACAGGCTGTAATGGACTCATGGGGAGTCCTGCCTCCAAACAATTGAATAATCAGATTGTGAAGGGCCTCTGACTTATCGGCTTAATTCAAAGCAGTGTGCATGTGGTGTGTGAGTGTGTGTGAGGCTTAAGAGACTTTGGCTTCGGGATGTTTTATTATTACAATGTTTTGTGAGGAGACTTTGATTGGGATTATTTCATACAACACAAAACATGCTTGAATAAATGGTTTGTTTAACCTTTTGTGGGATGAACGATCTCTGGCCACATTTGACCCCACCTCACTCTCCTCCTCTCAGGTACTGGGACCCCGGCCCCAGAGCAGACACCATGGAGGACCAGAGGTACATCTGGGGAGGATTTGCTTACCTGCAGGACATGATTGAACATGGCATCCTCAAGCTTCACACTGGCAAAGACTGGCCACTCGGGGTGTACGTCCAGCAGATGCCATATCCCTGCTATGTAGATGACCTGTGAGTGAACCTGTCCATTAATGGAGCAGCTTTATGAAGCAGCAGATTTACACAAAAAAAAGGTCTCCAAGACTGCATCTATGGAACACTTTTGGATGATCCAAAATGAAGGTTAATATAGAGTAAATCTGTCTGGGTTATTTTTACGGAAATCATCAACAAAAACTTTAAAAATGGAAGTTTCACAACTGAATGTGTTTACAGGTGCGTTGAAGGACAACATTACTGGAAAAAGTGAAACAAAACCTGGACACTGTTAGAATAACACCTTGTTCAATACCTGATATTCAATTTAACAAAACAAAACAAACACAAGTGAATACGTAAGGGCACTGGAGGACTTTTTACTTTAAATATGAAATCCTCCACTCTGACAGCACCAGATGTGCACTATTCATGGCACGTGTGCACTTTTCTGTTTGAGTATCTGTGCAGCATAAATTCTTGTCTGTCAAAGTGTTATTTTGTAATATTACCACTAGGTGGCACTAAAGTGGGACATTTTTAACTACCAAAACACGGTCAAAGTTTGGTCCCCTAACACAGGGGTTCCCAAAGTGGGGGTCGCGAGACCCCGTGTGGGGGTCGCGAGATGATTACAAAATTAAAATGGAAAATTAAAAAAAAAACATTATTAAAAAAGGTTGATTAATTTTTTTTATAAGTTTTTTTTTTAAATTACTATTAATAATAACGTTTGCATAGACATTTTTTTCTTTGAAAAAACCACTAGCGCATGTGTTCTCAAATTTTTCCTTTTTTTTCAGAAATTATTTCACCAGCACCCCCCCCCGGGGGTCGGGGGCTGAAAAGTTTGGGAACCCCTGCCCTAACACACATCTTAAAATGTTTACTCACGATCTTCAGACAGATCTTATTTCATTTCATTTCAAGCCTTTATTTAATCAGATGAATCCCATTGAGATCATTGATCTCTTTTTCAAGGGAGACCTGCTCAACGGGTTTAATTACTTTTCTTGATGGTCTTCACTCCTCTCCTCCAGCTTCATGATCACGCTGAACCGCTGCTTCCCCATGTTCATGGTGCTGGCCTGGATCTACTCTGTGTCCATGACTGTGAAGAGCATCGTGCTGGAGAAGGAGCTGCGTCTCAAGGAGACTCTCAAAACCATGGGGGTCGACAACGGAGTCATTTGGTGCACGTGTTTCATCGACAGCTTCATCATGATGACTACAAGCACCGCGCTGCTCACCATCATTATCATGGTGAGAGAACAGGAGAGGGAAATGAGACAGAGAAGAAACCCATGCTTGTAGAGAACCAAGGATCAAGTTATTTGCTGGTTTGGAGGGTCAATGTTTTGTAGGATGCAATGGGGCCCTCTTGTGGCTGGGTGAAAAAAGCTTTATGTGGAGAAATGTTTTCCTCACTGGCCATTTCTGTTAACAGTAGTATTTTGATGCATGAATGAAACACTGCTCAATAAATCATACATCTGTTTATCTCTTAGGGTGGAAAGGTGTTGAATTACAGCAACCCCCTTCTCGTCTTCTTCTTCCTGCTGACTTTCACCGTCACCACCATCATGCAGTGTTTCCTGATGAGTGTGTTCTTCAACAAGGCTAACCTGGCAGCGGCCTGCAGCGGCATCATTTACTTCACCCTCTATCTGCCTCATGTCCTCTGCTTTGCCTGGCAGGACCGCATCACCAAGAACATGAAAATGGCTGCTGTAGGTCTATTCTTTGTGTGTGATGTATACAGAAAAAAACAGTTCAAGCAAAAGCATTTGATAGTGTAGTGAGTATCAAATCCCTTGTCAGTGAATTAAGTATATTTCATGTGTTACTATGGTTTCCTTCTAGAGCTTGCTGTCTCCGGTGGCCTTTGGCTTCGGCACAGAGTACCTCTCACGGTATGAGGAGCAGGGTTTGGGTCTTCAGTGGGACAACATCATGACCAGCCCTTTAGAGAAAGACAACTACTCCTTCCTCACCTCCATCCTCATGATGGTGTTTGATGCTGTCCTTTACGGCGTCCTGGCCTGGTATTTGGATAATGTCTTCCCAGGTTGGACTGCTAATATACTCTTTGATTCACTTTACACCATATTGTACAGCTTTTTTGGTTCCACCAGTTTTATACACTGAGGATAATATGTTGTTCCCCCTCATAGGACAGTATGGCATCGGTCGACCTTTCTACTTCCCATTCCAGTCTTCATACTGGCGACTATCTGCAACCTCGAACACAGAAAGGGCCTATCAAGGTTAGTGTCACTGACATTAATATCTCTTACATGCCTGATAATTGACGACTGTGACTCAATGTTTCAGTTTTGCAAGTGAAAGCTGGGTGAGAGAAGTGAAAGCTGGGGGAGAGAAGTGAAAGCTGGGGGAGAGAAGTGAAAGCTTGCTCTTCATTTTTGCCAAAGAAAATACGTGCTCCCCGGAAAAGCTTCTAATTCCCACTGAAGGGAGGTGGTTGTATTGGAAAGGTCAATATAAGGTTTATAATGAGTCAAGATGCCCACGAGATACATTTTCTCCCTTGCCTCCTCTAGCACTCCTGGAGAAGGAAATGAGTCAGCACCTCAGTAGAGGACAGCTTAGTACAATGCACTCAAGTCATCAAAAGAGCAAGAAGAAGAAATAAATATATATAAAACCAACTTGTAACTGCTGCTCTAGACCTTACATTAGCATTCTGTTGTAGTCCCACTGCAGTCAGCATGTCGTTGTGTCCCTGGGACACTTCACCCCAAATTGCTCCTGTGGGGATTGCCCACAGTATTGAGTATGTAAGCCGCTTTGGATAAAAAGCGTCTAACAAGGGACATGTAATGTAATGTAGTTAATAAACATGTCTTAGCAGCTGTATTAAGCCAATAAATAAAAGGTGGGCGAAGTTTCTACAGTATTCCCCAAAAGCCATGTAACTGCAATTTAAGAGCTATCATCATCTCCTCCTGTTAACATGTATTGCTGTTGGAATTAAAATGCACGATTAATTGCTACCATTACTAGCAGCATAGATGTACACGCCTCATTGTTGTTGACTATGAAAGCGGACCTGTTCATATGTTCAAAACAAAACTTTATCAAACACATCCTAACCAGGAAATGCCTCTGTGATCTGTCTCCTTCAGATTCTGTGATAATGGAGCCGGACATGGTGGTGGAGCAGGACGTTGAGAGCAGGGCCTCACCCGTCACACACACCTGTAACGGCTCAGCGAGGAGGAAAGGCTGCAAGCACCAAAGTAAGAGGGAACAGCAGGAGAGAGAGAGGGAGCTGCTGAAACGACAGGAAGAAACCCAAAACCACGTGGAGGAGGGTCACGACACAGAAGGTGAGGAGACAAATACAGAGCTGAAGCCTCAGAATGGTGGTTACTGGAGAGTGACGCAAACTGAATGTGGGGGAACAATGAGGACATCTAGTGGACAGGAAGGGGAACACACCATACCTGGATGGGAAAGACAGAAAGGGAACAGCAGAAAAATAATACTTGTGATAATAAAGGAGAGTTAATGGCAAGTATTGCTTCTAGGGAGTCTGTAGGTTTGATGTCGCATGTAGATTTTAATTTTGTCATTGTGCTAAAAACAATAAAAACATGTTGAACCATTTTTATTTTTTTTACCTTTATTTAACCAGGATAGGTCTCATTGAGATTAAAAATCTCTTTTTCAAGAGAGTCCTGGCCCAAGAATGGTAACAGCACAGTTTCAGACAGTTTTACAGTTACAGGCAATTACACACAATCACAACACAGTCATACACCAAGTTTAGCCAAAGCATTTACAGACACAGCGGCCTGCTTCAAGGTCAGTTACAGTTGCTTTGAGTGTTTCTAATGAGACCAGCTCTCTGAGTTTCAGCTCAGTTTGAAGCAGGTTCCAAGCTTGAAGGGCAGCGTACCTGAACGCCCTTTTCCCAAGTTCAGTACGGACCTTTGGTTAAAAGGAAAAAGTTCTCGGAGCGAAGCCGATAGGATCCTGTGCATTTTCTGTTTATGTACATACTTAGATAAGGGGGAAGAGCACCAAGAATAGCCTTATATATAAGGATGTGCCAATGTTTCAGTCTACGCGTGGTCAGGGAAGACCATCCAACACGAGTGTATAGACTGCAGTGGTGCGTCAAGGTTTTGAGGTTTGTGATGAATCTCAGTGCGCCATACTTCTAAATGAGTACACGAAGTAAGAACTTTGAGAAAAACAAAGACCAAAATATGAGTTTCTAGGTTACATGGTAACATTTTCAAACATGTATGCAAGGAAGGGAAACTGATATTCTTGTTATGTGATCTTCCGTAGCAGACTGAAAGAGTTTTGACTGCACCTTGGCCGTTAAACCTAACACACACACACAATAAATAATTGTAAAAAAAATGCTGATAAATCAAAGTCATAGTTCTCAAAAGATTCAGGTCAATTGAGACTAATGACCAGGCCCATTTGTAGCCAATGTCCTTGCTAGTTTCTTGCTGTTTGCTCATTTAAATGACATTTTATGTGAAATTCCCATAAATTGGACATTTTCATTCTGTTTGTGTTTTATATTTCACAATCTCTTCATTTCTACTCTCGGCCATTATATGATATGAAGGCATCTTTTAAAAAAAATATGTTAACTGAGTCTTTTAATGTCTGTTTTTCCATGCAGGTCAGATGTTCTTTGAGGCCGATCCATTGGGCCTGAAGAGAGGAGTTCAGATCGAGGACCTGGTGATGCAGTTTTCTGGAAGTTCTTGTCCGGCTGTAAACCATCTCAGCATCAATTTCTACGAAGGCCAGATCACATCCTTCTTGGGGCACAACGGGGCTGGGAAAACCACCACTATGTAAGCTGAACATCAATTACCAAATCAAAAACGTGTGAAGTGATCCCCTGAACATCCTAGCACAGCGTTAACGACCTTCTTTGAATAGTATTGGTATCTTCTGTCTCCAGGTCCATCCTGACTGGCCTGTTCCCCCCCACATCTGGCACAGCCTACGTTAATGGAAGCGACATCCGCACTGACATGGACACCATCCGCTCCTCCATGGGGATGTGCCCTCAATACAACATCCTCTTCAAATAGTGAGTTACATTTCATATTGGACTGGAGTTCTTACAGTAAAATAAGTTTTATTTTTTGTGTTATAACGTTTTTGGAGAACTAGAACAGGGAAGACACACAGACAGAACATCTTAGATAAAGAAAGACAATCTCAAAGGACAAAAAAACTGAACAAATATACAATAAAAAAGTAAACAACATGGGTAAAACTGATGGGTATAGGAAACAATCGGCTCAAACGGAGAAAAAGCGAAACTGCGTATGCATACACCTACTTAACTCGGTATTGAGGAAAAGTAATTTAAAAGTTAAGAATGTTTTCAGTTGTAATAAAGTTAGGAACATACTTTATTCAAATCATTGCACATCTATTATTCACACATTGGCAGTTGCTGAATGCCAGGTTCTGACTCACCTTTCCAAAAACTGTCAAAACAACAATTGTGTTTTCTTCCTCTGTAAACTTCTTTATTACTGTTGCCCTGTTTCTCGTGCCAGTCTCACGGTGGCTGAGCACATCCTGTTCTACTCGCTGCTGAAGGGCCGCTCCCAGGTGGAGGCGGAGCAGGAGGTGGAGGAGATGCTTCTGGACCTCGGGCTGCCGCACAAGAGAGACGACGAGGCTCAGAACCTCTCAGGTGGACTGCTAATTCCTCTGAGTTTAGGAAAGAGAGCCAGGCAGCATTTCCTTCATTCCTCCATTATTGTTTTAACTTTTAACTGTTTCCTTTCACACCAGTGTTAATTTTGGCAGCTGTTTTTGATTTAGTCTTTTATTAGTTTTAGTCACATTTTAGTCATTCCTATCCTTCGTAGTTTTAGTCTAGTTTTAGTCGACGAAAACTCAAAACGTTTTAGTCAACTTTTAGTCGATGAAAAATTACATTTTAGTCAACTCTTAGTCAAAATGTGTCTCTATACTCTCTGAACGCTCCGTCCCCGGCAGATCTCTGTGTCCGCTGCAGCATGTCTGTTAGGCCCCGCCCCCGCACAAAGAGAGACACAGGGAGATCGCTCTTCTGGAGTGAAGAGAGCGTAAATAATGATATTGCAAGTTAGAAACGTAAGATGCATTTTGACAGACAGGACGGACACTTGGGGGAAAATATGCTGCATTTTGAATGTCCGATAGTGCACCATTAACACCTTAGTCCCATCTCGTCTCGTCAACGAAAACGAAATATGCATTTCGTCATAGTTTTCGTTATCAAGAGTCTATTTATAGCTCTTCATTGTCTCGTCTTAGTCATGTAAAAAAGGTCGTTGAGGAACATTTTTCGTCATAGTTTTCGTTGACGAAATTAACACTGTTTCACACACACTACAGGCGGTATGCAGAGGAAACTGTCAGTCGCCATGGCCTTCGCTGGAGGGTCCAAAGTGGTGATCCTGGACGAACCCACCTCAGGAGTGGACCCCTATTCCAGGAGATCTATTTGGGACCTCCTACTGAAATATAGAGCTGGTAAAAAGTCTTAATTTAATCCAATAGGCTCCACTTTTAAGCCCTTTAGGTCAACATTTTACGCCCACCAGTACAATCTCACCCTCAAGGTCCATTTTTACTGTTACACTGAAGAATAAAACCAATCCTTTGTAGCATCACAGCTTTCCTGAGGCACTTGAATTAAGTAGTGAGCTGATCAAATGGAAAAATTCAGTAACACTGCTACAAGGCAAAAAAAAAAGTTATGGTAGGCTTTTTGCTTTTCTAAAGAAGCTGCGTTGATTGAAATGACATTAAAGGTGTGACCCTGTGCAGGCCGGACGGTGATCCTGTCGACTCATCACATGGACGAGGCCGACCTGCTGAGCGACCGCATCGCCATCATCTCCAAAGGGCGGCTCCACTGCAGCGGATCCCCCCTGTTCCTCAAGAACTGCTTTGGAGTTGGTTTCTATTTGACACTTGTGCGACGCATGAAGGATCTCAAGAAGAGGGAGGTAAGCTGGAGACACAGCCACAATGATCTCTGCCATGTCTGTTTATTCTTCGTTTACAGCGTGGATGTTTTCATTGTTAAAGGTGTTCTGTTTTCCATCAGAATGAATGTGACTGTGCCTCAGACTGCTCCTGCTCCTGCTCCATCTGTGCCAGCTACAAAGATCTCTCTCAGAACCATTCCCATCATATAGACCGAGCCCTGGAAGGTAAGTGTAGCTGTTTTAACATGAGCTGCATCTCCTCTGTTTCTTTGCAATATGTTCTCTTGCACTTCTATCTTATTGATGAACCACTTTCGATTCAAGCCCTTGGAGTTGGGGCATTTAAAGGTGGGGTAGGTAATTTTGGAGAAACCAGCTGGAGTGCGCTAGAATTTGAAAATACACAGCTGGAAGAAATCTGCTACTTCCTTACAGAGCCCCTCCTCCAACACACACGAACGCGCACATGACCAATGAGGGCACGAGATAAGTTTGTGCACAGATGGAAGGCTGACAGGCAGGTAGGCCATCCAGTTATTTTAGCCGGGCCGGCAAAGATGATTGGTCGTGCTTTTTACAGCGCTACGGCTTCCACAGATGACATTTTTTAATGGATTTTTTGTCAAAGCACTTCAGATATTCATTGCTATCGGGATGTTAAGAGCATTCCATGGAATATAACAAAAAGTGTATCTCGAGCCGGTTTCTCAAACTTACCTACCCCACCTTTAATGAAAGTGTAGACATTTTAACTAGGCCTTACTTCTTCTTCAAAGAGCTGTTTAGCAGGGTTTAAACTTAATTTTCCAGTTGATACAGGTTTACATTAATATTAAAGTAAGGCTTGGAGTTAGGCATGTAGTTGTGATGGTTAAAGTTAGGGATGGGATCTAGGAAATCAGGGTATTTCTCACAGACTGTATAAAATATGGCATCTCCGTGATGTCACTTATAGGTGTCAGGAGAGCAATGGGCAAAGAGGTGGAAAGATAGGTAGGATTGAAAAGAATTAGCAAAAATGTAAGTAGAAAGATATCCAAANCAGTCTTCCCCATACTTGTGATTTAGTTTACTGAACCAAGCTGAGTGTTTTTCAAGGCTCAGGAAACCCTTGCAGGTGTTTCGAGTTAATTAGACGATTCAAGTGATTCGTTGAACACCCTACTAGTATACTTTTTCATGATATTCTAATATTTAGAGATAGGATATTTGAGTTTTCTTAAGCTGTATGCCATAATCAGCAATATTAAAATAATAAAAGGCTTGCAATATTTCAGTTGATTTGTAATGAATCCAGAATGTATGACATTTTTGTTTTTTTAATTGCATTACAGAAAATAAAGAACTTTATCACAATATTCTAATTTTCTGAGACAGTCCTGTAGGTGTCAGGAGAGCAATGGGCAAAGAGGTGGAAAGATAGGTAGGATTGAAAAGAATTAGCAAAAATGTAAGTAGAAAGATATCCAAATGTATTATGCAAAAGAGTTTAACCTTGTAGAAACTCAGTTCATCTGCCTCATTTGGACAGTTTGGTGTGTTTTTGTTTGACAATGCTGGGAAATGACCAAAACTGTTTCCCTGAAACTCATAGCAACGTATTGAATCGAGAAAATCAACTTTTACGATATTTAGGTCAATGAAGATCCTCTCAAGAAAGTGTGTGTTTGGTATTCTCCCGAGTGTCCCACTTATCCAAGTTGTAAAACAGATACAGAAGCAGAACACACAGTTTCTCACATTTATAATTCAGTGGTGATATTGAACCATGTGCATTTCCCTCCTAACTCAGCCCGAGGACACTGTGCTTTACTCATCTATTTTAGTACTTGAATAATAGTGTTTACTTTAGTTTTTTGGCCTGATAAGCAGTTTCTCTTCCTCAGTCTTCTTCATGAGCGTTGCTATTTTTAGGAAACATTTTAAACCACCGTCTCCATAAGTGGTGATGTTCTTTCTTCTTCCCAGGGGATATCAGCAGCATCACCAGCCTCATCCACCACCACGTCCCTGAAGCCAAACTCATCGAGACGATCGGCCAGGAGCTGACCTACCTGCTGCCCAGTAAAGGCTTCAAACACCGAGCGTACGCCAGTCTGTTCAGAGAGCTGGAGGAGACTCTGGGTGACATGGGCCTCAGCAGCTTTGGCATCTCTGACACGTCTCTAGAGGAGGTAGGCACTGACTGAACCTGTCTATTGAGGTGTTTTAAGGCTGCATTTACAGATGGCAAAATACAGCTTCCAGGATTTAACATAATGTTTTATTTGGGAATTTTCTATTTTTTGATAAAGCCCCGTTTTTACATTTTGTGAATTCTGATCTTCAAGAAAGGGACACCGTTAATCACATTGAACAAATGGTTTAATTTGGAAAAATAATAATATTGTTGCTTATAAAAATTCCATTGAAGGACACAATGACCTCTTGAACATTTGTTATTGGAGGACTTGGTGTTGAACATTACCTACTGTGGAATAAAAAAAACTCTCCATCCTAACAAGTGATTTCTGCAAAAAGCATCCATAAAGTATTTTTTTCTTAAAAATAAAGGTTATGGAATTTGCTTCTACATTTACACTACATTAGATTTGATTATGTGTTCAATCATTTCCAGTAATGAACTACAAAGGCATGGTTTAATTATGATATTTGTTGCGTCTCTCTCCCTCCTGTGTTTCTATTAAAGTGCCACATTAATATATACATTTCAAAAGAGACAAGACAAGACAAGATTACTTAAATTTTGTACATTTCTATGCAAAATATGTGCATACTGTAGTGTACATGATGGCATTATGTTTCCTCTCAACATCTAAATACTTTTATTTTAAGTTATGTTTAATACGGTGAAATTGGGAAACGTATATCACTGGTTTTCTGAACTTAAGAAGAAGAACTATCGCTTGAAAAGTTTAGAAAGTTTCCCAAAGTTCATCTCTTTTTTTCCAGATCTTCATAAAGGTCACTGCTGATGGAGAGGCAGCGAATAATGGCACCACTCCTGGTAAATATCACCACAGATATTACACATGGCCTTTCTCTTGTCTCTGACCTGCTGTAAATCCCTCTGAGCAAAGTTTTATTGTTAATTCCCTATTTTCAACTTTAGCTACTTGTCTTATCGCCATGTGCTGTGGTGCTTCCTTGGTGTTGTAACCCTCTAGATTGTGTGTGTTTGTTTTGTGTCTCGCCTGTCACTCCCTCCTAGAACAGTGGATGTTACAGCGGAGAACAAACGAAGTTGGTGTAGATGGTGATAAAGGTCAGAAACTTGAGAGCCAACAGAATTCTGGCAATTAAATCCACTTTTCATTGAATATTCTGAACTTGGGTCAATCAGTATGTGCCAGACTTGTTTGTTATTTAAATGTAAAGGTACTTTTTTTAACAGGTATGTGCTTTTCTGTTACCAATTTAATGGTATGAAATACAATATAACATATATTAGTCTTCTTTTCTAGCACAGCACTACTTTAAATTCTAATTCATTTATAACCATTTGTTATTTGTCACTTGTCAGCTAAATCAAAAACCTCTGACAAGTTGATGTGCCTTGCTCAGTGGAATCTAAAACTGTCTCTTTAGCAATAGGTATGGATATAGATAATTTCTGTACATAACTAACTGTATATGTTCTTGTTGATCGCAGAACAAAATGGTGGGGTGCACAGTAACGGCATTACCCATGGTGCATCAGACAGCAGTGCAGGAAAGGGCTCCATGCAGGTGAAAGGGTCCTGTCTGGTGTTGAAGCAGTTCCACGCGCTGCTGGTGAAGAGGTTTCATCACGCCATCAGAAGCAGTAAAGACTTCCTGGCACAGGTACACAGTCGGGAGGGGCGTGAGTGATGACATACATACGTGTTGTTTATTGGAAAATGTTATGTACTGCAGACAAGTACTTACAGCTGAGTTTAGCAACTTGCTCACTTGTGTTTTTGGTGATTTCAGATCGTCCTTCCTGCCAGTTTTGTCCTGATCGCTCTGATCTCCACCATGGTCGTCCCTCCGTTCGGAGAGCACCCCAGCCTGACTCTGACCCCCTGGATGTACGGACAGCAGTTCACCTTCTTCAGGTTAGACCGCTCAACCATGAAATGAAATGGCTAATTGCCACAACCCTTGCTAATGGATTGGTTGTGATAAAACTGCTTTGAATGATTCTCTACTTGAGGTGTGTGGCGCAGTGGGCTGTGCATTGGTGTTCAGATCAGGGGGTCACAGGTTCAAACCCCACTGCAGTCAGCATGTCGTTGTGTCCCCAAATTGCTCCTGTGGGGATTGCCCACAGTATTGAGTATGTAAGTCGCTTTGGATAACAGCGTCTAATAAGTAACATGTAATGTAATGTTACTGGCTTTAACTTGATTTTCTTCTTTACATTTTCTCGTCCCCATTTAGTAACGAGCAGCCCTTTGACCCCATAATGAAACGCTTCACTGAGCGCTTACTGGACAGACCGGGCCTGGGGACACGCTGCATGGCAGGAGACCCATTAAAGTGAGTATCAGGACTCTTCCTACTTCAAGACTAGATGGAATTAACTAAATATATGGAATTGTATAATACATATCCTAAAAGGCTTTGTCAAAATGAGCTTTTTTCATCTTCACTGAAGTAGCAATTGAGTACACCAAATGTTCAAGTTTCATTCCAATGTATATTTTGACGTTTTTTTTCCAAGATGAAACAAGAATTTTGAACCTGGCTTCATCGAATGTTCAGATTTCTTTAATATAACATATTAGAGGACTGGCAATCAAAACATAATACACTTAATGTGAGTAATAACCCGGGGAAGTTTCACGCTGATATTAATGTGTTAATATGTTTACCTTGTTCACCCTTAACTCAGATTCAGTAACTTACCTGCTAACATGAAAGTCATCTTATGAACGACATGTGATTACATATCCATTGTTCTCTCAAATAACTGGTGATTTACCTTTCTACCCCCCCACAGAATGTCCTGTATGAACAGCACATCAGAGTGGGAGTATCCTGACGCCTCTCCTGCGGTCAGCGAAATCTTAAAGAGTCCAGAGTGGAACCAGAGAGACCCGTCTCCGTCCTGCGAGTGCAGCTCCAGTAAGAAGCTCACCATGATGCCCATCTGCCCCCCAGGAGCCGGAGGTCTGCCCCCCCGGCAGCGCCTCGAGGTCACAGGGGACACCATGCTGGACATGACGGACAAGAACATCTCTGACTACCTGGTCAAAACCTACCCCACTCTCATCAGGGCCAGGTGGGTTTAAATGGGATGCCAGAAACTGACCATGATCAAAATCGAAAATCGGACAGCCCTGGCAAATATTACTCGATTATTCGCCTGCCGCACCACCACCCCCCCCCGCGCGAGAAAAAAAAAATTAGCTTGATGATTTGGGTTGAAATAACCAGGAAAAAAAGAATCAACATAAATAATATATTAAAAAACTATATATAAATAAAATCGAATTAAACATTTTTTTAGATTATGGAGAATGTAACGAAGATTCGAAAAATCAAATAATCGTTGGCATCCCTAGTTTAAATATAACTGAAATCGGCATTTCATTGATACAAACAGGGGGATTTAAAGAAGGAAATCTGTGTCAAACCACCTTAAAGGCAATATGAAGTTTTAAAACAAGTGAAAAAAAGTTTATAGTGACAGAAAAACGATATTTTCAAAACTCTGTAAATGATAAACCCTGCATTAAAATAGTCAGATAATAAAAAGGCTGCAAACAAGCTATGATTACTCAGAATTGTTAAGAGTATGACCCCTTTACTAACATATCATTTACCTTTCTGTTCAACTCAATTATGTCTTTTATTTCACAGTTTGAAGAGCAAATACTGGGTGAATGAACAAAGGTAACAGTTTGCGTTTTATCCGTTTCACTTCTTCTTTGTCTTGTGTCGCCGATGTGGGACACTGAGTGTAAATGTTCTCTGTCCCAAGGTATGGAGGTCTGTCAGTCGGAGGACAGCTTCCCATCCTCAACGTCAACCCCAAAGACATCCAGCATTTCTTCCATCAACTGGGGCGAATGCTCAACATCACAGCGGTACTCACTGTCTTTCTTTTTAAACATGAGTGTCATGCAAAAAGTCCATCAAATCGGTTTATAATGATCATTTTCTTTCACAGGGCCCCTATTCTCGACGTGCACTCAGGGAGATTGGTCCTTTCTTGCATTACATGGAAAGTGAATTCAATGTTAAGGTATGTGTGGGATGGATTCAGTAGCTTTTCAGCTAAAAGCAAAGCAGCAAGGGGCAGCATTGAAGTGCAAACACTCACTGGCTGGCGCTATGATTTTATACAACACCCTGCAATTCATGTCACAAGGACGTTGGCTGTAAATGCTTTCATAGCGTTGGTCTCCACTTAAAGTAATTGAGGTCTTTCTATAAGGAAGGTCAGCTCACGACGCCCGGTGTTGTAGATCAGGATTGTAATTGTCACAGAAGGTTGTGGGTGTAAAGCAGGGGTGTCAAACTCAAGGCCCGGGGGCCAAATCTGGCCCGTGACTTCACTTCATGCGGCCCCACAAGAGCTTGCAAAAAATATAATACGTTTATTATACGGTTACAGGCCGATTTACAGAAGCACGTTGCCCATAAACTACATGTCCCACAATGCATCTCAAATTTGACTTTTTTCTCTCTGCCTTTGCAGAAAGGCAGAGAGTTTATGACGAAGCGAGCAAGACAGACTTTTTTTCCAGAATTTTGCTTTTCTCTTTAAACCATTTTTTGCATTCTCACTGAAGAGACTTGCAATTATTTGCCCTAGAATTCTGCTTTCAGACGTAGTTAATTATGAAGTTATTACCCTATCCAATAATAATCCAATGCAGAGGCAATAATGGAATATTATACATTATTTTATATATTAAACATTTATATATACACTGAACAAAAATATAAATGCAACACTTTTGTTTTTGCTCCCATTTTTCATGAGATGAACTAAGTGTTGCATTTATATTTTTGTTCAGTGTATATATAAATGTTTAATATATAAAATAATGTATAATANCCATAGGAAACCTGTTCATTGTCAATGACATTGGATCATAATAAATGCACAACGGAGAATCTTGTCTGGACCTGGATCATTGCCCTGCGTAAGATCTGCTAACTAGTGCCTCAGCGGCTGTATTATTTTAAAAGTTAATTATCTGTTTTATTTCTATATGATTTTGGCCGCTACAGTGCATGTTCATGTCAATGTATAGCCGACACATCACACCACAAAGTCCGGACTCCACTATAACGACTATTCATGTATAGCACTTTGCAGCATGCATACAACTCATTACCTAGCTTCCTCTTTGTAGCCTTTCTATAATAAACCAAAAAAAGAGGACAACACACATGATACAAGGAAAAAATCTAAGGACACCGGATCAAAAGCAACAAGCATCATTAAGCCACATACGTTTTCAAAAAGCCTGTAACATCAGAATAAACCATCATCAAAGCAGAAGCAACATGGATATGAACAATCAATATGAACTCCAGAGCAGCTGCATCCATTAACAAACAACACATTAAAGCTAAGAGAGAGCTGCTGAGTTGTAGGGAATAAACCAAACACACAATGCTGCCTTGCTCATCAACACTGAGGTTCTCCTGTGATCAGTGGTTGAATGTATCTACGTACATAATCATCTTAACTGAGGCAGTGGCAATCTGCTGGAGTAGCCTACATTCTTTTAATGCTACTGTATACTTTTACTCTACTACATTTGAGAGGAAAATACTGTTTTTTTTTTACTGAATTGAATAGGACTTTAAGTAACCTACATAATAGGCTATTATATGGTTTACTTGAGTTACAATTTATTCGCAGTACTTTTTAGTAGATTATTTTTACTTAAGTGAAGAACCTGAATAAGATAAGATATACTGTATTGATCCACATTTGGGGAATGTTTTCACAGCAGCATGTGTAAGACATTGCACATGGAGGCGTGTGGCGCAGTGGGCTGTGCATAGGTGTTCGGATCAGGGGGTCACAGGTTCAAACCCCACTGCAGTCAGCATGTCGTTGTGTCCTGCCTGGGCAAGATACTTCACCCCAAATTGCTCCTGTGGGGATTGTCCAGTGTTGAGTATGTAAATCGCTTTGGATAAAAGCGTCTAAGAAGTGACAGCATAATGTAATACAAATAACAAATTAAAATAAATTCAATTAAAACCATAAAGATATGCATATCAGCATGTAGAAGTTAAACAAAATACGCAAAACAGTGAATATATACATAGGCCTACATACTTGTGTTGTTGTACTGTCTGGAGACATTTGAGTTAGCCTTGAACAGCGCGAGGACCTCCACAGTGCTCCAGGTTAAACTCCTCTGCTCAATCATTTTCTAAACATAAACTAATGAGTCCATACTGCTCTGTCCCATCAGGGTTTTTATGACCTAACTGAAATGAAAGTTCCTTAGTGAACGCAGAAATTACCGTTAGCATGCTAGCCCGATCCAGCTGCACCTGTTGATGATGTGAATGTGTGGGTGTGTTTGATTCGGGTTAGTGCAGGCCAGGTGGTGCGTTAAAGCCTATGGTTAAAGCTCAAAAAGAAATAGCTTTTTTTTCCACTTTTACCGAGGTACTAGAATGTGTACATTTTGTACAATATTTGGGATAAAAAATGCTTAAGTAAAGGTAAAATGACAGAGATATATATTAAAAAACAATACTCAAAAAAGTAAACAAAATAGACTTGGTTGCAGTAACTAAAGTATATGTATTGTGTTACTTCCTCTCATGCTTTAATACATTTAGACTTGTTTAAAGAGTGATACATAAAGCTCCACTCTCTACCCCAATCATTCGTTCAGTGTCCTAGTAAATTATGAAAAACTAAAATGTGAATTTTAGTCACATGTTTTGTCAACTGTTCATCTTTCTCAATCATTTTCAATGAATGATAAATCGATGGCGGTTGACAGCTCCTCTGAGGGCCATTCAGGTGTTAGGGATCTATGAAGTCAGGACAGATGCATCCAAATGTTTGACTGACAGTCGAGCATGTCGAGGCATAAACGAACAGGCTCCTCTTCCAGATTAACTTTCTGCTGCTCAAGCCTCAGAGATTGATCTGTGCCAAAGACTGGCAAGGCCTTGGAGTGGGTAGAGTAAAAAAGAGATTGGATCTGTTCTTTCAAGGAAAAACCTCTCAGGGTTGAGAGAGAAAGAGCATGATCAAATAAATATAGCACTTTTATTAAATCACTTACAACTTTTGTCTGGGATGTGCTCTCACACACACACACAGAAAAAATTCCACAACTTTTGTAAAGGTCAGAAGTCAGTTTTCTTTGAAATTCAAAACAGAATAGCCTACAGGTCATTTTAAAAGGTTTGTGTTTTTTTCACTATGATTTAAGATAAAAACACCAATTTCCCTCATCAAAAGAAATATACTGAAGTCAATTTAATCAATAAGAGAGCTTTCTGTTTTGTCTTTCAATAAGTAAAAGATTGCATGTAAACAGATAGTGCTGACTGCTGACACTTTTTAGCACATATATTAAGACTCCACTATCTAAAAGTACAGGCTTGTGTTATTCAATTTGTATTATTACAATTGTGTAATTGTTTTTATTCATTTCGCTGTCTTGTTGAAATTAATCATAATTAAGTGAGCAGGCCTTAAAGGATTAGTTCAATATTTTAAGAAATGTGCTGTAACTTTTTTTTTTTTTTCTCCAGACAAACAGAAATGTGTAAACTACTATTTGTAGTATACTGGATTTTTTTTTAAGAAAACGAGGCTAGCCGTTTCTAGCGTTTTGGGCCAAAAATAATGACGTCATGGTTCAAGCTTCATACTTAATGTACAGTGATAGTACCTGTTTCCGAAAATGCAGAGTTATTCCTTTTACAGAATAAACAGAGGAAGTTATTTTGTAAAAGCTACAGTTTGTTACAGTACATTCGCTCTTTGCATTGTTAATTTAACAAGGTATTCTGTATACGTCATGGATGCAGTAGAAGTTGACAGTGACAGTCATCGACAGTGAACTGCAAAGGGCTGCAGGCAGTCAACTTTATTGTGTTTGTTGCACATACGGTGTGAACATTAAAGGGCTGATGGTGTTGCACCACCTTGATTACACTGTGCTGCTGCAGGTTAGCTGGGACCAATGTGCTGTCAGCCTGCTCTGCATTAGGACAGATGGAGCACAATGTGGATGTGGACATCAGCTGTTTGTCTGTCCCTCTGCAATGGTCCTGGACTTTCTTTGTCTCAAAATCTATTGGTAATCAACCAATGCTCCTTTGTGGATACAGTATATGTTTTAAATGTGATTTTTGTTCCCTTGACTTTCTCCTTTCTTATGGTCTTATATCTAACCAGTTAGACGTTGATGAAAGATTGAAATGCATTTGCAGGCAAATTATTCAATTATGGTCTGTAAATGAGGCGTGAGTGACCTTTAAAATTGATCTATTCACAGCTTCCACAATTTCCCCGACGGTTCAGCTAATCTTTTTTGAATTTCCTGATGAATAAAATGAGGCTTACAATTCAGACAGTTTTGCCGTCCTTAAAACTAGATTTGGATGAACATTCATTATCTTGATTTGCTTGCTGGGTAAAAGCTAGTAGGAGTAAGTGTGGTAGTCTTGTGTTTTCACTGATTAAGGAACATTATTTATTTTTGATCCACTGACCTGTGGATGAGACAGAACCACATGTGCCTGTCAGCTATTTTTCATCATCATAATCAATAGGCCAAGAATAGCAGTTGAAGGTAATCCCTGTTGATCCATCTTTCTCAATCATCCTTTCCACCATTACCCCTGAGGTCGGCTGCCTTCAGAGGCAACAAAGTTATCCCCCCTCCCCCCCTGGGAGGAGCAGCATGGCGCTGAGGTGCTGGGAGAAAAGCTAATGAGTGTATTTGTCATATCTCTAATGGCTCACTATGTCACCACGGCACCTTGGCTTGGGATTTATGGTAATCATGTCGGCAGAAAGAGAATGTGTTCTGCTTGAGGATTTTTTCCTTCTCTGAAGAGCGAGAATGTTGAATTGATGGCAGCTCTTTTCTTCGAGCCTTGTGAAACATTGACGATGTGCTATGGTAAATGAAAGCCTTAAAACACAGGGTGGAGAAATTGGTGTTTGCATCAGCAGGTATGGCAAACTAATGATGAGTCAACTTTGCTATTGATCATCGCTTATTTCAGCCCCTGGGACCCAGACCAACCACATCCTTCTCTCAAATTATGCTGACATGTCTCCCCCGATACCTACCCCACAAACTTTCTTTTCTACTTGCCTCGCAATTCTAATCCAGCAGAAGAATTTCACCTTCTTCCCTCAAGTCCCAAGTGAGTTATTATTTTATCAACAGTCTGTACTCAACATGCAAATGACTGTGTGTCTCTGGTTCTGGAGTACTGATCACCCCCAAAGAAGACATCAAAGACACATTTTCACAAGAGATATATTGAAAGTTAAAGTAAATTGACAAATTACACTTTGCACTGCCTTTTCTGCGTATGTACCACACATTATTATACATAAGCTATTCTTCACTTGTTTAAAGTGAGAATGCTGAGGTGTGTACAGCAGCATATTTCAATATGCTTTTTTGGAGTATATTTTATGTAGCATGAATAATGGTATGTGTGGGTGTGAGAAGGGAGGGAAACATATTTGTTGAAGATTCCTCAAGGGCGGCTGCAGCAGCTTCTGTGGAGACGAAAACACACGTACACGAGGGGAGAAGATGCAGGCGGGTTCTGATGCACTTTAAAAGAACAATTGATCAGCAATTCCTTCTGTGAGCCCACAAATCCTTCAGACTTCAAACACACCTCCTGAAGGTTAGGGGCACAGAGTGGGTAACAGAGGGATGCCCTGGGCAGAGATGCCTTACTTTCTTGACATTAGACATTATCGGGGTATTTTAAAAAAACCTACTGCCCTCATGTGGCTGCTGCTGGGTCGCAGGACAGGAGGACAGAAACATCTTCAAAACAACATGAAACTTTGACGAGTCATGAGATTCTCTGAAATGTAACTCAGAGATGTTCACCGGCTGAATCCTGGAGAAAACAACATGATGGTCGTACAGCTCTCAGAAATCTGGAAATCTACCCAGACTCTGCTTTGATTTAGTCAGTGCAGTAACTGATCTATTTACAACAAATAATGGATGATTCCTCCTGAAGGAAAACACCTTAATCAGCAGCCGAGTTTTAGTTCAGTTAAGATATGTTCCTCTCTGAGCTGTTTGATTCTTCTCTGTGGACCGTAGACTGCTCTAAATATTTGTCCACCGTAATACATCCAGTACTTGTGTCATTAAATTACTAATTAACATACAGTATATAACATGTCATATTTTCTTGATATAACCAGACTTCTTTAAAGGGGCCCTATCATGCTTGTTGGGTTATTCCCTTTCCTGTTGTGTGTTACTTCATATAGGTTTATTTGTTTGTAAATGGCCTCCATTGGGTTTTATTCGTAACATATTGACATCACTCTGTAACACTCATACTCCTATTGGCTAGCGCTCCAACACATTGGACGTGATAGGCTAAGGTGCAGGACATCTCTAAGCGGTTGACCAATCACAACAGAGCCTGCCGCTAACCAATCAGAGCAGACTGGGCTCTGGTTTCAGACAGAGGGTGAAAAGAGGTGCTGCAGCACAGGCAGTATGAACAATCTACATTTATGTCCTCTTTAATAAAATACTAAATTACTGTTTTTGATGTCTCCAAAAAGTCCAACAATGTATCATCGAATCCAGATATACAAGAAATGTAATCCACATGAGTATAAACAGACTACCGTCCAAGTTATGCTACAGCATACTGATATATTTTATGTGCAGACGTTTCAGTATAACAGAGAAAGGAAAATATACTTTGCAGAACTGAATGAACTCATAACTCCAAGGTCACCAAATATAATGACTACAGTTTGACGTCTGTTCTTCCTTAAATGCTTTTCATTCCAATTTTAAAAAATGTATACGCTATACAGTACTGTAGATTCCACTGGAGTTTTGTTCCTCTTCATGCTTTACATCGTCTCAACTCCATTGTCTCATGGTGGATCTGAACTCTTACAGATAAAGCTGCAGTCCTATGACACACTGAATATAAAGTGATTGAATGGTGAGTGTGTATTCATCGAGCCCACTGCATCAGAATCTCTCTGTTTCTGTCTCACTCTCACACTCAACACTCAGTGGATTATAAAACAACCTCGATGCACATTCATTTCCTTTTGCCTCATAATTCTGTAACTTTGTCTCTCTTCCAGAACTGTATTCTTTACCCGCACACTCTATAGATACACACCATAACCTTTTATGACTTCTTCCGTCAACCATGCCCCCAATTAAACTTATGACCCAAAATATCCAGTGCACTGGCTTAAAAGCTAAAAATAGCCAGCCATCTTCTGCCCACACATCACTCACAACAGCATTTAAATATCTATGTGTTCCCTGCTTTAAATATACTCATCCACTATAGTTCCCATCATGACCATTAATGTTCAGCTTCCATCAACACCTGAACCAACCGTTTCATAACTAACAATTTAAAGGTTTAACACCTGATCATCCCACCCCTTTTTTTTTATAAAGCTGGACTTGTCTTGTCTTTTAACAGACACATTTAAAACAAATATTCTAAATCAAGGCAGTAGAGGCTGGGGTAAATGGGTCAAGCCCCTAAAACCCAGGATTGAACATTTCCCACAATGCAACCTGCTATATTTTGTTTATCCCCTGTTCTCAACCGTTTAAAATGTGTGCTTATGACTGGCATATGTAACATTAGCTTTTTTATATGTGGGTGCCACTCTTGGCATCGTATCAAGGGGCTACTGTGATTTAAGTAATGCCTTCACAAATATTTATGAGGGAGAGTTCTCCATGAGGTATTTATTTTATGAGCTAGCTTTATAATTATAACACCTCAATTTGAAACCACCAAATCGATCAAGGCAGAGAAATTGAGACTTTTAAATCCTGGACAGTTTTATCGTATCACTGTTGTGCTGGATGGATTTTTCTCTAAACACAGTGGATCTGATAGTTAACTCGGTGTGTATTGATCTGAAGCAGAACAGAGGCGTGATCCGAGGCTTCGATACAAACAAAGCAATATAGTCATTGATCCCGTAAAGTCTCCAGGGATCAGTGTTGTAGAGTTTCTTCATCATACCAGCGATGAAGTTGGCCTGCTTCCCCCCACACGCCTCATCATTTAAAAACGTCAGCCCAACACCATATGGGATCCGCACAAAGAAGAGAAAAATCCGAGCAGGACAACTCTCAATTCGATTTTGAAAGCAACATGTGGACTCAGAGTTTTGGTATTATCTGAGGGATAACAGAAAAATGTTCCCTTTCATATTCTCATCCTCAGAAGACTTAAATTACTGAGAATGTGTTGCTACACTGATCACAGACTGTGCACACCACCAGGAGAGCCAATAAATGTCTAATCTAAAAACAATATTTCAGTAAGAAAGGGGTTATTCATATTTTACAGCATATATTCATGCTTTATATTCAAGACACTATATACTATATTACAAGGTTACAGTATATAGAGTACTGAACCCTCTTGGTTAATAAAGTTAAGGCAGATTCCTGATAAAATAAGTAATTTAGGTTACAGATGTGAAAAAGTCTGTATTCTCATATTTGCATGAATGATATACAAATGTCAGATTCCCTTCAATAACCTTTTAGCTATTTTAGCGTACTGGAAGTGTACAGTATATAAGCTTTCTTACCCAAATCGAGCTGTCATTTAATTAAATTCACATTTCAGGCATTGAGATGGTGTTTCAAATGAAGTGGTCATGGTAACAATAAGAGCCAAGGAGTCAAAAAGCAGTAATAAACTTGTAACATTTTCAACTAAGATTACTTTTTGCCCCATTGATACACAGCTATTTATAATGGGTTATTTCACATATGAATGGCACGACTTGATCCCTAGCTATCTCCTGTAAATCAGGCATATGCTATTTCTCACTTCTACTACTCTAGACATTGCATATTGTATGTTTTACTCCATTACATAATGTTTAAAGCTATTATTGTGGTTAGCCACATTACAGATAGAGGAGCGAGCATGTTCCAGAATAAATATTGCTTTGTCACTGATATTATTGAGTCTATTTCACTGATCTAACCCCACTTGTACAAAATAACCCAAAACTTTTCCAACTTTTCACTTGTCGCACATTTTCTGTGTTAAAGTCATCAAGGATTCTCTGGCCGTTTCTCAATCGCGAGGAAACTGGCTTCCAAGCCAATATTTCAAGGATACTACGTCATCGAGTGCCGCCCGAAGGACTGTTCCAATCTCCAGCATACTTGGAATTCCACCGAGGCAGCGTCCTTGGTTTGGGGGTAATTTCGAGGCTGCACATGGGTAGACTTCGCGTCCTTCAAATCCCCACAATGCTTTGCGCACGGACCAATTTCCCCAAATCTGTGGCGGAAAATGTAAGGCGGTGCTTCTCATATGACGCACACCTGCACACTTGCTCACCTGTTCCACTCTTCGTTTTCCGAATGCCAGGAAGGATTCTTGCCTCGCTTCTGAAGGAAGTGACTCGGAAGACATGTGCTACCAAGCAAGCATCCTCGCGATTGAGAAACGGCCACTATCTTAGCATTATTCCTGTTATGGAAAAGTGTTGAAAAATTAAATTTGTTTAAAAGACAGGTTGTTAATATAGATTTGTGCACATAAAAAATACCTGGAAATTCAATGGACTCATGGTTATATTACATGGAAAACACAAGGTACAGTGTGACTCATTGCTCTCCCCCAGCGGCACTAATCAGCTCATCAGCTTCATCCAGAGCACCGAATGAACAGGAGACGAGTGTGAGATCCACACCACAGAGTTCATTAGCTGTCCTGAATTCCACATAACCATCATCCCTCTGTTTCTCTGAGGTAGCCAATGACGTTCAGCCTAGTGGGCGGCCTGAGGCAATGGCAGCATCACTTGAGGTGGGGAAACAGTCATTGGACCGTGATTGTGGTGGAATAGTAAAAAAATCTGGTTATGATTTTTGGACTATTCGACCGCAACCCGTGTGTCAGATGAATCCAGGGTGTGACAAACCTCCCAGCATGCATCACTCCACCACTGACGGCCAGTGGCTTTTCAGCTTTTCATCGGAGGTCAGCAGACGTATTGCAGGTTGTTGGACTGTAACTCTTTAAACTATACTTCTACAACCAGCAGTAGCTTACCATGAGGAATTAAGATTTCGAGAAATATATATACAAGAAAAACTACTTCATATGTACATTATGAAACTCTGTTTTATTTGGGACTGATGATGTAGTACAATCCACTAATGGAGAGTACAAAGAGCATAAAGCTTATTAAAGTTTTATTTGTTCAGATACAAAATATAAATCCTCTTCATTCACAGCTTTATTTTGTTAAATATCTTTTTTCCCTTTCCTTCAAGAGGTGTAACATAACATGGCAGTGTATGAAATACTGAACAAAGAATGACTGAACAAAAAAGAAGCAATAATAAATATGTTATGGAAAAGAATTAGCAACCAATATCATATGACATTTGTTTACATGTGTGACATAAAATTGAGGTGTGTGCGTTAATGTAAACGTTAAAAAATCTGTTTCTAAGGTGCTTAAATATTTTAACATAGAGTATGTACAAATGTATACATGCCAGTCAATCTAAACACCAGATGAACTTAGACGAACACCCAGCTGTTTCCCCACAGTTTTGCTGTTAAAATACATCATTTAAAGTCTAATTAATGTCTTTTTTTACAATATTTTGGAAGACTAACTCCGGTTTGCTGCTTGTTAAGTGGCTAGAAAAAAAAGCCAGTGTTACCAGTTACTTTGGCAGGTTAACTGGCAAGTCTCGTCTCTACTCTAAAAATAATTTGGCTATATTTAAAAGTGCTGCTTTAACTGTGGAATGTAGAAAGTTATATCACTGCCCCGTTTCGGTTTATTTACACGGGACCTTTACGTGTTCTCCTCTGCACGGGCAAGATCTTGACATCTTTTCTTCGACCTGCCGTCCGTTTGTTTAGCGTAGCGTCCTCGTCCTCTGCTGTCTGCTGCTTGGCAAAGTTAACGAACACCTGCAAAACAGACAAACCAAGTCAGTACATTGTTGAATATGTTTTTAACTGCATTAAGGCACATAAGGACCGTAGTGTAGCTGATTGTAAGTCATATTTTAACCAATAGAAACGCAAGTGTTACATAAATATGCCACTATTAGTGCTGCGTACCTGGACTCACATTCAGGTTCAGGTCCGGACTCAAGTCCAGAGGTTCAGGTTCAGGTCCGGACTTATAAATCCGGACCTGAATCCATGGCTTGTGTGAGTAAGTGAACTTATTGTGAGCTAATTATCAATTGAAAATAAACTCATAATCAACTCAAATTCAAACTCGTCAGGTTTATTGTGCTCCCTTCCAACTTGTGTCGACAAACAAAGAAGTCCAATGGAGGCGTTCCAGGCAGGGGGGGGGAGTGTGTGGGAGAGAAACTCCCTCTGGGGGGAACTTTGGGGATTTTAGCTTTTGCAGACCATTTACATGCACACAAACCTATATAACACACTACAGCAAAGGGAACACCTCAAAAAGCACATTAAGGCCTTTTCTTATACACTCTTCTCTTAAATAAAAATAAATAAAAATAGGGTGAGAAATTAAACTGTCTTGTTATCTGAACATGTACTTGTAGGAATTTATTTTGTATTTTTTATACTTTGTCGTATTTTAATTTAACCCTGGAAATTGGTGTATGTACTGTATGTATATGTGTACATATGTACGTGTATGTATATATAGAATTTTGTTTATCTGTGTTAATTACGGAATTATCTTTTATTTACTTTATCCTGCAACAGGAAGACTAACAGGAGGGCTACTTCTGTATAGGCTATGCTTTCTGTCCTCCCGCTTCTACTCATTTAGTTTCTTTTTTAGATGTATAAACTGTCTAAATTGTTGAAATAGTAGAATAAATAAGAATAAAAAATATTCAAAAACAAATTATAACGAGGTCACCAACCATTCTTCCTTCACAAACATCATCAGGACTGTTTCCCCTAAATGCCTTTAACATTATTACATGTTACTTGTTAGACGCTTTTATCCAAAGCGAATTACATACTCAATACTGTGTCTCAGGGACACAACGACATGCTGACTGCAGTGGGGTTTTTAACACAGTCTGAGACTCTTATTGTCTGTGTTCAGAAGTACCTGGTCCAGTGTTGTCTGGGAAACAGAGTAGTCTTCGATGCTGAGCCTTTCTTTATTGGCCACCACCACCTGGAATATCCTGGCCAGGGAGGAGGAGGCGATCTCGTACTGCAGCGTGTTGTAGTGCTTCTCCCTCTGCACGCAGCCGGGGAAGCTGCTCTCCATGAAGCTCTCCACGGGCTCCAGGTCCAGAGACACGCCCGCTCGAGCTGCCTTCATCTTCATGGTCACTACGTAGCCGTCACCAAACCTAAGGCAAGGAAACACAATGCGAAGAAAGAAACATTTTCCAGAGTACAATTTAAATCACAACTTCGCATTGTTATTTTTTCAAGTTTGACTGTTTCTTTATATATTCATTTTATGTTCCAAGATGCAGACCTTCATTTAAGATAAGATTAAATAAACCTTTACTAAATCAAACCTTTAATAACAATACGAGTCAAACACAGGATAGGCAAGATATGAGGTCACACAAGAGTAATTAGAGTAAAAATAAGAATAACTAAGAAACAGTTTAGGTAAGAATAACAACATTATGATTAGGAGAACATGAGTAGTTGGTTTTGCAGGCATATCAATATGAGTAGAGATATATATTATTAATATTAATAAATATAAAAGTCTATGTGTCACAGTAGGTACATACAGGGCCGTTGTATACACTGGTCAAGCCTTGGTTGTAGAGCCTGATATATTCTGGCACAAAGTGTGGCCAAAGCACTTCAGTGTTACAGGTTTAGATTTATGATATTAAAACACTACCCACACAGAAAACCTCTTACTTGTATTTGAGATGCTGGATGGTACCCAGACACTTGAAAGTCCCGTTGACCATGATGGCCAGTCGAGTGCAGAGGGCCTCGCACTCCTCCATACTGGTGAGAAAAAACATCATCAATCTTTATTTTAACTGCTACTACTCCATGTCAATGAGCAATAACTCATACTTTATAGTTCTAAATAATTCAAGTTGTTGGCAGAAGAGTTACAGTAGCTGTGTTTGCTGAGCTGCTGCAGCAGGAGTGTGTGCTCTGGATTAATTTCATTATTAGATGTTGAACCTGTGTGATGTTAGCACCACGGCACGCCCGTCCTGGATCACACTCATGATGGCATTCCATAGGAAGCGTCGAGAGTGGGGGTCCATCCCTGTCGTGGGCTCATCCTAAACACACACACACGAAAAAATTCTCTGAGCACATCATTCCATATAAACAGAGACCAAGTCCTTATCTCTATCAGCATATGGCAAACATCTCTGATTTATGTCAATTTGAATTGGACTGTATAGTTCCCTGCCAATGTAAAAAACACTGGAGGCCAGGCATGACTGAACCCATATGGCTCGCCATCTGGATCTGTAGGCCATTTCATTGATAAATCCTCATCCAGCCCAGAAACCCAAACAATGGGCTCTCTCACCAGCAGCACCAGCGCCGGGCACCCGATCATCGCGATCGCTGTGGAGAGTTTCCTCTTGTTGCCTCCGCTGTAGGTCCCGGCGCAGCGGCCCGCGTACTCCGTCAGGCCCAGCTTCTGGATGCCCCACTCTGCCACCTATAGGGGGAGAGGGGGGAGAAGCATTTATTAAAACACGTAGTACATCTTATCACTTATCAAAAAACTGAAAAGTTGACTTGAATGTCAACAAATATCAAATAACTGTATCAGGTTAGTTGAAAGCCGTAATATTATTATGACCTATTTTTGTATTTAAACGTAATATTATTGCTTTCAACTAACCCTATCAGAATCAGAATCAGAAACGGGTTTATTACCAGGTAGGTTCACACGTATGAGGAATTTGACTTGGTGTCGTGGTGCATACATAAAACAAAAATTAAAAAACACAGATAGAGAACTATTATAAGAAAATACTAAATATAGCAGTATGCGCAATGCAATAGAATGAAGTTACTGTATGTGATATCTTGTGACATAATAAATGTCATTAAAGTCAACGTCTCAGTTTCAGGGCCGGCCAAACGTACTGTTTACTGAACCCTTTGCTACAATTTAACAGCAAAAATTAAAAGCACAATTTAAACAGTTGTGGAAAAAAGACCCCCCCCCCCAAAAAAATGAATAAAACAGATTTAAAGGCCAGCTCTGCTTCAGGAAGCCCCTTGGACACTGGAAGTGGAGACAGGAGAGTAATGGCTAAGCTGTCAATCTTGTTGGACAACGTGTCTCCCCCCACTTCCCCAATGTGTCTGCCCCGTGCAGCTCGTTCAGCAACAGGCTGCTTCACCCAGGGTGTCTCACAGAGAGATATTAATTAATACTATATTCTCTGCAGCGCTCAGTAAGACAGTAACAGATTAAAGGAGCTGGAGGCGTACTCACTCTGGGGATCTCGCACTCCGGCACCCCTCTGAGACGAGCGTACAGGTACAGATGCTCCCTGCCGGTTAGCAGCTCATCGATGGCTTCGAACTGAGGGCAGTAGCCCATGTTCTGGTGCACGTCCAGAATCTCTGTCAGGATGCTGCAAAACAAGACACAAGGAGCCACTCGTTACATTGAGCCAATCAGAAACATGATTTCAGAGTGGGATTAGACTGATGAAGTCATCTAAAACATCCACATTTGAGAGGGAAGCTGATTCTTATGAACAAAATAATACAAAAATGAACGATAATCTTCTTGTTAGTTGAATTTAATGGACAATATGTGTTATTGTCTTTAATTTCATGCCATTTAATACATTGATAACTCCCAATCTGGAGTCCTGAGATACATCTGTAGAGTCATATGAAAGATGATACAGAATTTGGGTTTTTTTCCCCCAGTTATCTGTTCTGTTATTTAATTTGTTCACCTCACCTCAAAACGAGCCCAGGCTGTCATTATTTCTGAAGTGTCTGAGATGAAAACATGGTTTGCTTAAAAAGTTGGCATAGAAAATGGATTTCTAACAGATAGAAAATTAGAATTCAAATCACTTTGCAGCAGCTCCACAAAAAATATGTATCTGAGTCTTCAAAAACAAAGCGTCGATGAAACCCTGGCTCCTAGTTTTTCTATTCAGAGCACCGCATGTGTTGGTTTTATAGTCAGATAGTGTCATCAAACAGAATTATGTCAGATTGACCTTCTCTGTGTTTAAACTCATTGGACTGTTTCCGGTCTCCCATCTTGAACGCCATGCAGGATGAACCGAGAGTGCTGCGAGCTCAGTGTGGCCTTTTGGACGGATCTTTATGTACCTGTACCCAGCCACAGTGGCCTCCCCCGAGCTGACATCACTGTCCCCAGTCAGCATTTTGAAGGTCGTCGTCTTTCCAGCTCCGTTAACTCCCAAAAGACCAAAGCACTAACAGGACAAAATACAATCAGTCTGTTGATGCGAGGACACATTCTGCTGAATTACACACAATAAAGTGCTGAAACGCACTCGCTGATACAGACTGCTAATATCTTTTTGAAACTTTCAAATCTAATTCGGCTTAATATAATGATAATGCAAATAATCTGAATCTCTAACAGTCTGATGGCAGCTTAATCGGTATTTCGGTTTAACTGAGCAAACACAAAAAGAACAAGACTTGATATAAATGACACCAATAACTGAATGTAAAGTGTTTTTACCTCTCCTGCAGGGACACCCACACAAATCCGGTCCACAGCTGCCCTCTTCCTGCCCACATACGTCTGTGCAGAGGAAGCAAGGAAACATGATGACTGATTCATATTTGTTTAGTGCATTTAAAACGATAACAAATATTTTCTACAGCATTAATCTGCCTGCTTATAGTTTTTAACATTTTTTGTTCTGCGCTTCAAATTTGTTTGAAAGAAACGGGATGTTTTATTTCATTTAAAAAATAACAAATTACATTTTTGAGATTATAATCATCCTCCATAAACAAATGGTCATCATCTAATAAAAATAGCCCCAAACAAAAACAACAGACAATAATTATTTTTATATTTAAAATGTCCCCTGTCATGTTGTGGACTACCTTTTGTATCGTATTGTTCTTTCCATTTTATGCCTCTTATGTACTTTTCCATTTCTTTAAGCAGTTAATTAGAAATAATTTCCGCACAATTAAAGGGAGCTGTATTTCCAGCTCTCCAATATTCCCATATTTTTAATCCAGCATTTAACCCACTAAGGTTTTGTGGCTATACCCATGAATACTGCAAGGGATTACTTTGTTTCTTGTACATTTCATTCAACTTTATACGTGATATATTTCAAAGTTAAACGTGAAAAAATCAGACAGGCGAGCCAGCGTCTCCACCTTAGAGAGGTCTCTGATCTGCAGGATGTCTGTCTTGCTCGCTCCGTCATAAACTCTCTGCCTTTCTGCTGCCACGTCTTCATCCTCGTCTCTTACTGTAGTCTGCGGGCACTTTGTGAACCTGAAGAGGGCGAGAAAATCATCTGTGGATGAGCATTACAGTTGTATCTGATCACAGGTGGGTATGAGCTCTGACCGTCTGTGAAAGAGTTTGTAAAGAAAGGTCAAGACATGTGTGTAACAGCTGAGATGCTGTGTGTGCAGACCTGTACCGTCTGTGTTTGAACAGAAGCTTACCAATTGTCCATGAAGAAGCGGTACTGGATCAGAAGATTAAGAATAAAGAAGACAAAGCCTTCCACTGCCATGAAAGCTATATTCTTCCCCACAAAGTCCCACCGGAACGGGTCCTGTGTGAACTCCTCACCTGAAGACAGATACATACTGAAAATGAACCTCTGTTCAGCACAAAGTCAGTCGTTTTTATATTTCACAAGCAGTACAAACATATTTTCCAGACAGTGCCTACAGCAATAACAATAAGGGGAAGCATTCAAAAAGGTTAGTGAACCGACATATCTGAAGTGTCAAATTAAGAGAATCATGTATAAGTATATTAGGTTATGTCACCTATAAATGAACACATATTCAAATAGCAGTATTTTCTGACTAATTTATTTAAAATATTTTAAGTGATGGCGGACTTTGCTACAGATCTTGTAATAGTAAGATCAAAAGGTAAAGGAACATTAGGAACTGAATTAGTTGTAGAAGCCAAAATGCTTATTTAGCCTGAGGCAATTATTTCCATTATTGTTGTTACTTTAGACTGCACACATTTCTATTTAAAATACACTTCCGGCTTTGTCACATGGGTGTGGTTTGTTTGCATTTAGTCCACCTGTTGTTTGCCAGTAATTAGTATGACACAGAGGCACAGACATTTTCTGTTGACCGTTTGGTCCTCTTTAAGTTATGGTTTGTTTATTTGAGTTATAACTTCAGTACAGACTCTTTTCATTGAAACGTGTCAAAGTGGTGAGCCTACATTAGCCCTCTAGTGACTGTTCATTGGGAGTTTTGTTGGAACACTAGTACTTACCAAATCTGGCATAAACATCCGTCACAGCCTGGTTCATGGCCATGTCGATCAGCCCTCTCCCCAGGCAGAAGTGAGGGAACAGCAGCAGGCCTTTCTTCAGCCACTCATTGAACATCAGCAGAGACTGGCAACACACATATACTTATTAATACACATTTCACTTGGGTGCAGGATTGAAAGACAACTTCAACATACTTATTACAGAAAGTCATTATTATCCTGGATATGCATCACTACAGTACATCATCTCAGCATTGTGTTTATTTATCTCTGCTCAGTTGAAAGAGTAGAGGTGTGTGCCAGTAAAACCATTTGGTAAAAAGAACCATCTCCATATTTCAGCAGAGCAGTGAGTCATCTGTTAGCCTGTCAGCAGCAGCGTCTCTGCCCTGTCCCCCCTGACTTTTGTTTCCTCTCATTTCTGTTTTTCTCTCTTCTTCTTAAATAATTACTCACCAGTCCAACAGGTCCCATCACTCTCATTGTTTTTGTTACTGTTATTCTGAGCTTCAGACCTTCTGCTGCCCCGGCTGCACATTATTAATGAGCCCCTTTGAACAAAGTCTTGAAAAGCTTCCTTTGGATCGAGGTAAGTTAGATGCCAGAATTCAAAAACACAATTATTAACAGCCCATCGTTTCCTAGACACCATTAAAAAATGTTATTTTCAAGTGTTTACTTGTGATTCTGAGATCCCTTACTCTAGAAAGTAGCAAGCATTTTCTTAATTCAATAGCTTATATAATAAACAAAGTGACAGTATACGTTGATTGCTTTGTATACCCCTTAAAGATTTTTTAAAAAGTGTTTTGCTCGATTTCCCCATTAAATATATCAAAAATGCATCTTTGCAGTGAATATATTGACCCTTAGGGAATCATTATATGAATTGTCCTTCCTTGCTGTGAGTTGAAAGGTAAAAACAACAAAAAGTCATCTGGCAATTATTTTTAAATCCATACATCATTACCAGATTGTTTTCAAAGAGCTCCAGGATGAAGGTGATGGCGCTGCTGTTGATGCCTATGAACAGGTTGATGCAGGACAGAGACACGTAGGCAGTACTGGGGATGTCGAATATGTAGGACATGGGGTACATCAGGGGCGTCACCGACCACCTGGAGGAAAATAAGTATTTAAATATATATATTAGATTTCCTTGATGTTGACTTGGGCTGTAATTCAGTTCCTCTTTTTGTTGTTAAGAGGTGACATATTCTGATAAGGCATTACTCACCTGCACAATAATATATATAATCTTTACAAAAATTAACCATTTAAAATTAATAGAATACTAACCCATAGAGCAGAAGCAGAGTTATTAGTGCTGGCAGGTTGGATGGTGATGTGTAACACTTTTTATCAAAAGCCAGGAAAATGCCAACCACCAATGCAGTGCTGAGGGAGTAGTTAACCTAGGGAAGAGATGAAGCATTCACATGAAGACAAGGAACAGAAACATCTATTAATATACTAAAATTAACATATGTCCAAACCAAATTGGCTTCAAGGAACAATCCACAACATCTGTTTGAAGATGAGTTTATAATGCACACATGCCACATGTGGTTTATCACTTTTAATGATTTGAAAACTGCACATCTTTCAAGTCTTTAAAAAAAAAAGAAACTCAAAACACAATTGTAGAAATGAGACTTTTAGGAAGCAGACTCCTGCTATCTGCTGCACTTTCTCAATGCATTGCTATGCTTTCTAACCTGTCATCTGATTGTGTGTTGAATTTGCATTATCCCCCTTTTATTGCACAATTTCATCATTGTACCTTTAATTTAAATGTATTTTTTATATGTCTACTATTTGGTATTTTTAGTTTGTTTTTATGTCTTTTACTGGTAACTGTATGTATGGTGTGTGATATCAATTTTCTGTGAAATGTGAAGCACCTTGAACTGCACTTGTTGTATGAAAGGTGCGAAACAAATAAAGATTATTATTATTATTATTATTATTATTGTTATTCATTTCAGCATTAGCAGGGAGCACATTATATATTGACTCCAGCACTGATTGACTCACCATGTCCCAGAAGAAGTTGGCCACCCAGTAAACCACAGGGCTGACCCCGCTCACAAACTGCAGGTGTTTAGCCTTGGTCACTCGCTCCTGGATGAGGTAGAGGACGAAGCTGGCGGGGATGAAGGACATGGCGAAAATAACACAGATCGCAACCACAGCGTCGACTGAAGTGTTCAACCTGAGGAGAGAAGCAAAACAAGTAATGTTAATGACAAAGTAAATACATGACATATGTGTAATTAATAACAAACAGTAAATGGCAACTTGGGATGGTGGCTTTAGAGAGGAATCCAAATTAAAGTGCTTTTAAATCAAAATAACACTTATATGTTAGCTTTCTTTTAAAAAATAAATATATACAAATATTAAAGTAATTTGCAAATGTACAGTTGGGTAGAAGTCAATTTTAAAACAATTACAAAAAGTAACTCATGTTAAGTTATATCTTCAATTTACTTTAAATGTAAACTATTTTCTAAAAATGATAGATTCATGTATATACATTTATTTGTATAAACGGGGAAATAACAGAGAAAGAACAGAATGCGTTTTCGCTGCTCAAAAAAATAAAATAAAAATATATCTTTCACTTTTATAGTAATACAACATTTGTTTTCATATACGAATAAAACAATTTTAAAACACAATTTAACCTGCCTGTCAGCCTTCCATCTGTGCACAAACTTATCTCGTGCCCTCATTGGTCATGTGCGCGATCGTGTGTGTTGGAGGAGGGGCTCTGTAAGGAAGTCTGAAGGAAGTGGCAGATTTTTTTCGGCTGCGTACTTTCAAATTCTAGCGCACTCGAGCCGGTTTCTCAAACTTACATACCCTACCTTTAATATTAGGTAAACACTCACACTGTGATTTCGGACAGCTGCTCCTTGGTCAGGTTCAGAGGGTGGTTGATGGCGGTGATGCCAAACTCCATAGGTTTGGAGGATGGAGGCAGGAAAGCCCGCAGGATGGCGTTATTGGCCACGTTCATGAAGGCCACCATGGCGTGCCAGCCTTTGTTATTATACCAAACCTGAGGAAGGAGAGCAGAGTTAACTGAACAATTTACACCAGGGGTGTCAAACTCAATCTCATCGCGGGCCACATCAGCTTTATGGTTGCACTCAAAGGGCCGGTTGTAACTTCAAGACTATATCAAAATACATACACTGAACAAAAATATAAATGCAACACTTTTGTTTTTGCTCCCATTTTTCATGAGATGAACTCAAAGATCTAAAACATTTTCTATATACACAAAATAACCATTTCTCTCAAATATTGTTCACAAATCTGAAAAAATCTGTGATAGTGAGCACTTCTCCTTTGCCGAGATAATCCATCCCACCTCACAGGTGTGGCATATCAAGATGCTGATTAGACAGCATGATTATTGCACAGGTGTGCCTTAGGCTGGCCACAATAAAAGGCCACTCTGAAACGTGCA